GAGGTCCCCCGAAAGTATCGCCTCAAGCTGCTGTATTTGGCCCACGACGCCCCCGTTGGGGGCCACCAGGGGACCCGGAGCACCCGGCTGAGGCTGCTCCAACACTTCTACTGGCTGGGAATATTTGCAGCCGTGCAGCGGTACTGCCGGTCCTGTGACTCCTGCCAGAGGGGCGGGAAGGCCCAAGACAGGAGGAAAGCTGCTCAGGGGCCCCTACCCCGTATAGAGGACCCCCTGGGCTTGCTGAGAGAGTTACAGCAGGGGAAGACCCCTCTGGATGGAGCGTCGGGGGTGGAAGACGTCCTGGCTGTCCAGGGAAGGCTCGCTGGGCTCATGGCCCCAGCCCAAGAGACCCTGGCCAGAGATCAAGGCCAGCGGAAGGGTGGGTGTGACCACAGAGGACAGGCCTGTGCCAGTCCCCCCAGAGCGGTGCAGCGAGTGGACAGAGGGAAGCCAATTCATGTGGGGCCTTGCCGCGGCTAGTCTGAGTCAAGGGGAGCACCCGTGCCCCAGGGCAGGTTCCCACACAGAGGACCCGAACTTCCCGAGGTCACGAGCGGAGTGACCCTGCTCAGTTCGCTCTCGGAGGGGGGAGAACTGTGACGTAGTGGGGGTACCTTGCTGGCTACAGCAGGGCAGGGGATGAATCATTATGCAAAAAGGGTCTCTCAACCTGTCCGACCAGCTACCCCCCAGGGAGAGGAACAAAGGAAGGGGGAATGCCGCCCCTTGCTGGGGGGCAGGTCTGGAAGAGAGTTGGTTAGTTGCTGTCTGGGAAGCAGAGGAGAAGGAGCTAGGGAGGGGGCTGGGATTGTAGGGCCCAGCCACCCCCCATCTCAAGGGGGGGCACTGAGGCCTCTTAGCCCCAGTTCCTGTAACCAGAAGTACATCTGTGCTGTGCTGTATCCTGGAGAAGCAATAAACTCCCTCTGTTCTACTGGCTGGTGGAGTCTGTCCGTGCCATTACGGGGGTGCAGGAGACGGGAAACACCCAACGCACCGTCACACCCCCACCTCAAAATGGTTCCTCACCCCTGCTGTAACGGGTCTCTCCCCGCCCAGGCTGACGGCCTTCGTCCTCAAGTCCTTTGGCCAGGCCAGACCCTACATCTCCATCGATGAGAAGCATGTAAACCGCAGCCTGCGGTGGCTGCAGCGTCACCAGCTGGAGAGCGGCTGCTTCCGCCGTGTGGGGGAGCCGTTGAGGAACATCCTGCAGGTGGGAGGCCAGGGAGATGGGCTGATGGGGTGGGGGAGGAGGGAGAAGCTGGGCAAGTTCCTGGCCGCCCCCTATGGCAGCTGGTTGTTGTAATCCGGTTTTGCATAGGGGTTTCCCTGGGTTTTAGTGGTAGCTGAATGGCCCAGAGAGCTGGGAGTGACGGACCGGGCTGAGTCTGGGCACAGCCGAGGGCATCTGCTCAGGGCAAATTGCTCCTTACAGCCCCTGAGTGGAGGCCCTTCCCAAATAGGCCACAAACCAGTCACACAGAGCCCTTCAGCTGCCAATCTGGCCAGCAAGAAGCCTCACGAGCAAAACCCCTCTGATACCCAGCTCTCCCTGTGCCCCAATCAGCCCCGGGCCTACACACAGGTGAGGGGTCTAGAACCCAATTTCACCTCCCCTGAACGGGTTCTTCTGGTCCCAAGAAACCAGCCACAGATCCCAATCGATTTACATTCTGGATCTTACCCACAAGATCACTTTGGCTATTATCTTTGAAAAGTCGTGGAGATCGGGAGAAATCCCGGATGACTGGAAAAAGGCAAATGTAGTGCCCATCTTCAAAAAAGGGAAGAAGGATGATCCAGGGAACTATAGGCTGGTCAGTCTTACCTCGGTTCCTGGAAAAATCATGGAAGGGATCCTTAAGGAATCCATAAAGCACGAGAGTGAAGTTGTTAAAGGAGAATACATCACATGCATCAAATCTCCCAGTTCTCGATACAGACTCTTAGCAGAGACGTTACAAACTGCTCTCTTAAAAGTCTCTGGTTACATCCTATGTCAGGATGGGTCCACGGTTCTTCCCAGCTCGTTGTTCCCTGCAAGGCTGCATCTGGGACCAGGAGCTGAACTCAAGAGCAGACAGAGGGTGCCACATGGCGCTTATATCCCTCTCCTGGCATCTTCCTGGCCAGAGCAGGTCACTGCAGGTCAAATGGTCCATCGACCTATCCTTGTGTCCCAAGGCAGCAACCATTATTGTGGCTGGTCTGCAGATACCCAGACATTCCTCAAGTGTGTCTCTGGCACTTAGAGATCTATTGTCTCTGGAGCCTTGCTAATTAGCATAGCCACTGGCTGACCATTCTTTGCCCATTGCTCTGCTCAGACAGAGAACCTTCCAGCATCACCACAGAGTCCATAATTATAACTCCGCAGACAGACATTACACAAGTACGTGAATAGCACAGACAGTCAGTAGAACAGAAGCTTTCATGTGACACCTCACGTGGCCCCTCTGTACAGACTTTTGTGACAACCGCCCACCCCCCCGCACGGGTGCAACAGTGATCTTCAGAACCCAATAACGTCACACCGGGTCAGAGGGTTTTTGCAGGAGAGAGCAGCCCTGCTCCATCCACCTGAGTAGCCCAGGCTCCCCACTGGCACCGAGCAGACCCCACACCCATTGCATGGCATGGAGAGCATGGTGGGCCCAGCCCAGCCCTTAAGTCACGTGACTCCCATGTCAGAAGGGCAGTCCTGGTGCATCATGGGAGATGTAGTCCGAAGGACCCAAGTCCCTGGGCATGGGCGCACAGGCCAGGTGCACTGAATGTGGATCTGGCTTGTGGTGAAAGGTTTCCACTCAGTCTCCGATCCCAGAGGCTGCGGTTTGGGCCCCGCTGGTCCCCAGCCGTTTGCAGGGGCCGGGTCTCTCTGGGAGGGCTGGGGCCGCCCCGGCCGCTTGGGAGCTAGGAGGAGACAAATCTCAGGCACAGTCTGGATTCCCGCGCGGGGGACAATTTAACGAGCCGGAGCTCGCCCGGGGGGGGCGAATCCCTCAGCCGCTGCAGGACCGGCCCCGCGTCTCCACAGGCGTCTGGGGAACGTCCCTGCAAACCCGCAGCCCGGCCCTGGCGCAGGGGCTGAGGGAGGATTTCACACGGGGCCAGTGCACCTCTCGCGAACTAGCCCGTGGGACTCACTGCCACAGCCTGGCCTCCCGGGCTGCTACGACCCACGTGGGCCTGACAGGCCCCAGCAGGAGGAGGGGCCCATGCAAGCCCCCCACAGCGCTGGAGCCAGATCTGCTGGCCCTACAGGCCTGGCCTGAGGTGGCTCCCGGTGTCTCCATCTCCCGCAGGGCAACATCATGGATGAAATCTCTCTCTCGGCTTACGTCACGGCAGCGCTGCTGGAGCTGGGGCAGCCGCTCACGGTGAGGCCAAGCCCTGCCTTCCTGCCGGGGCAGGGACCAGGGCACTGGGGGGGCTCAGGGCGAGGATACGGGGGTGTCAGGGCGATGTTCGGGGTACTGGAGATGGGAGGAGGTGTTGGGGGAGGGGGTGCTGGCAGTCTGTTGAGTTGGTACCAAGGTCTGGGGCAGGGTGATGTGGGGTGTTGGGCTGGGGGTAGGGCAGGGAGATTTGGCGGATGAGGAGGTGCTGGGCTAATTTCATGAGGCTTGTGGGGGTGCTCGGTGCAGGTGACGGGGGCAGGGACGGGCTGGGACAGGTGAGAGCTGGCTGCCAGGTGGAGCGCTGTGAGGGTCCATGGGCTGGGAGCCGGGGGGCACGCCCAGGCGTGGGGCGTCTCCTCTGGGCAGCTCAGCCTGACGGGGCGTCTGTTGGGTGTCTCCCCCATCCCAGGACCCCACGGTGACCAGGGCCCTCCAGTGCCTCCAGGAGTCCTCGCGCACCAGTGACCTCTACACGCGGGCGCTGCTGGCCTACGCCTTCGGGCTGGCGGGGCGCACGGAGCTGCGGGACGCCCTTCTGCAGAGCCTGGCCCAGCACAGCGTCAGCGCCGGTACCGCAGCGCCTCGCTCCAGTGCCCTCCCCCCGGCGACCTCCAGACACAGGGCAGGGCTGCCCCCCACGGCCCTGCCCACCCACTGCCCCCTGCCCTGGTGATGGCTCTTCCCTCGGCCCTTCAGCTAGGCCCTGCTCCCCTCCTGCCCCCTGCCCGAGGACCCCGCACTCCGGCGCCCAGTGTCCCCCTCTACCAGAGGTGATCCCGAGCACAAGCAGGCTGGGCAATTGCATCCCATGGGGTCTCCACTTTGATCTTCCCCCACCAGCCGCTCATCTAATGCATGTGGCCTGTTCCCTGGGGGTGGGGCTGGGATGGATTTTGGGTTGTGGATAGAATACAGCGAATATTTCTAATGGGCTGGGGGGGGGATATACCTGCTTATGGCAGTCGGTGAAGCACAGGGCTGGGCTTTAGTCTAGGGAACAGCAGCTCCAGGGTTTTGAGCCGGGGACCCTAACAATGACCAGCCCAGTGGCCTCCTGTTCTCCCTGTGTAGCCCTCCAGTGCCCTGGGAACCAGCTGCTGTGTCCTGCCCCAGAGGTGGCTGCATTCGGTGGGGGGCAGGAATCCCTCTGGCCAGGGAAGACCCACGGTCCCTTTGCCAAGCAAACAGGTGACCCGCTGTGTTGTAA